TGCTCTGGTATATTTCAGGGAGTTTGGAAAGAACCTAAGAGGGAAAGGTGTTTCATGAGGAAGGCTGGCTGCCAGGTGATGAGGATTATTTACTGGTCTTATTTTAGCCTTAGGATAACTGGAAGGTCACCTACATAAAGTGACTGAGGATCATGGCACCGATGTTCCAGTTCCTCTCTGCTGCCGTATCTAAAATTCCATTAGAATCACTCCTTAGGGTGAAGACACTAGATCCAGAATCCTCTGTTAAAATGCCACCTGGGGCACATTAGAAAGGAATACCATTCCCCATGTCTGCCCAGAGGCACTCAAAGCACTCCTCGCCCCATGGCTCACACACTGGGATAGGCACCCAGTGTGTGTGGTCATATCACATGTGGCCTCAGGATAAACATGATTATTTAACTTCTAGGAAAATCAAGTTTACTTAAAGAATTAGGGGGAACCTATTGCATTCACATTAGAACACAGACGTATCATGGGGTAGCATGCAAAATTCGCATGAATTCTTTAAAAATGAAAGAATAAGCCCTAACCAGTTTTGCTCAGTGGATAGAGCATCGGCCTGTGGACTTGAAGGGTCTAGGTTCAATTCCGGCCAAGGACACGTATCTTGTTTGTGGGCTTGATCCCCAATAGGGGTCGTGCAGGAGGCAGCTGTTCGATGTTTCTCTCTCATCGATGTTTCCAACTCTCTATCCCTCACCCTTCCTCTCTGTAAAATCAATAAAAATATATTTTAAAAAATAATAATGATAAATAAAAATGAAAGAATAAGATTGCAAAGAACTGTGGAGCTGGCATTGGGCCTCTTAGAACCGAGTGTTCAGACTCCTGCGTGCTCATTCTCCACTGCCTGCAGGGTGCTTCGTGGAAAAGTTTGAGGATCTAGATCAGCTCTCACTCATTTTGAGGAACCTGAAACCCAGAAAAAGGAAATGATTTGTGCAAAGTTAGTGGCAAGACTAAAACCCAGGTCCCGACTCCAGATCATTTTTTATTCGCTAAGAGCAGGACTGGGACATGAGAGACACTGGACAGGATGTTTGAAGGCAAAGGGTTGCGGGAAGTCAGCAGAGAGCACAGTCCAGAAAGGAGAGGCCTGGGGAGAGTCGGGGAGAGGGGCTCGAGTGGCCTGGGGCACAGGAGCAGGAGGTGTGGTGCAGTTTTGCTCCATCTGCAGACCCCGGAGTTGCACTGAGGCTCCTCAGGACAGATGTTTCCAGAGTTGAAATAAGCTCTGTGAAGCCCAGAGCACTCGCTGTGGGGCAGGAGCTCTTGCTCTCTCTCCCCCACAGCCCGTGTTGTGGGCGCTCACTCTGGCAGGAGAGCTTGTGTTGTTGGGAAGAGGAATTCACTGTACTGAGCCCCAGTGGAGGTGGATTATCACAGCTTTTCCTTTCCTGCTGAGCTCAAGTCTAGCTGGGAAGAGGCTATTTTTTCCTGGTAGCAGAAACAGGCACCCTTCTGCCAAGCCCACGTCCAGTGTCTTAGCCAGATGCCGACTTGGCTTTGCCTCCTGCTTTCAGGGTGGGCGCCTGCAATCCCTTAAGCCTATTTCCCTTCCTAAACTCCCCTTTCATTAACTGTTGGGCCAAACTAACAAATAGAGAAGCCTGAGACTCCAAGTATGATTTACAGCCTCTCCCTGATCAGTCCTTCCAGTTCACTGGGCTGTATTCCCAGTGTTAAGAGCTTAAAATGCATTTTCCCATAAGGATGATGTTATACATGGTGGTTAGATTACCCGACGGACCTGTCTTGCCCTAAAGGGAAAAGTAATAACAGCTTCCATTTATTGAGCCAGTCAATGTTTACCTGCTGTGCACCAGGCCCACGCGAGGTGCTCTTTACATGTTCACTCTTCTCTCTCATTTTTATGACTCTTTCAGCTGGGTGTTCCTACCCCACGGCACAGGAAATCAAAGCTCCCACCGGGTGATCCGCAGGGTCTCAGGGCCTGTGAGTGACACAGCCAGGATTCCAACCGGGGTCTGTCACACCCCAGAGCCCACGCCACCCCTTCACCCTGCTCCTTCCCAAGGAGCCCTTCCTTACGTGCTTAACGCCTCTCCAAGTCTGTTTTGTTGTTTCATAGTATAATTGCCAGAGTTTTAGGGGAAGGAGAGGTTGGACATGGCTCTGTTTCAGTAACACTTTAGTTACAAAATCAAGGTGATGGGGTCAGTTTGGCCCCCAAGCAGTGTGCCTTCCCATCTGCCCTGTTCCTCACCTCCACCCCATCACTGATGACCTCTGTTACTCATTTTTAATATATTCTTCTAGAGACTCTTATGTGTGTATATACAAGCAAATACAGATATTTCCCCCCTTTTACACCAAAGGTAGCATTTTATATGCACCGTTCTTCTTGCTTTTTTCACTTAATATATTTTAAGATCTTCCATATCTGTACCTAGAAAGCTTCTTCAGTTTTGTTTTTCACTGAAGTATTGCACTATATGGATACATCATATTTTATTGACCGAGTCCCCTCTTGATAGACATTTAGGTTCTTCCCAGTGCTTTTTTAATTGATTTTTATTTTATTTTAGTCTATTTTTTTAGAGAGAGAGGAAGGGAGAGAGGTGGGTGGAGAGAGAAAGAGAGAGGGAGAGAAAAAAAAATCGATGTGAGAGAGAAACATTGATTGGCTCTGATCAGGGATAGAACCCACAACCTGGATATGGGAATTCTCTGACTGGGAATTAAACCCACCACCTTTTGACGTTCCAACCAGCTAAGCTAAACCGGCCAGGGCAGATTCTTCCCAGTCTTTTGTCATTACAAACAATGCTGCAGGAAATGAGTATATACAAACGTCCTTTTGAATTTGTTTAAGTACATTACCAAATTGTTCTCCATAGGGATTATACTGATATATATCCCGACCAGCACACTACAAGAGGTACAAGAAGCCTGTACCTCCCATACTCCCAACAGAGTGTATCAGACTTTGGGTCTTTGCCCAGGGACAGGCAAATGTATTTCAGTGTAGTTTTATTTTGCTTATTTACTTTCTCTTATTACGACTGAGGTTGAGCAGCTTTTTCTATGTTTAATGGAGATCTGTATTTCCTTTTCTGTGGACTGTCCATATTATCTATTGTCCACTTTCCTGTTGGGCTGTGAGTCTTTTTCTTCTCTATTTTTAGGCACTCCCTATATTAGTAAAGTTAGCCCTTTATCTCTGTGTGAGTGCTATTCCCCCGCCCCCCCCTTAGTTTGTCACCTGTCTTTGACCTTGCTTATGACATTGGCCATGCAGATTTTGGACATGTGCCTGTGTGTACTTTTATGGCTTCTGGATTTTGATTCTGAGTAAGAAAGGCTTTCCCCCTTGATGTTATGAAGGATCTCCGTATTATTTTCTTCTAGTATTTTTATGGTTTCATATCACACACTTGGATTTTTGATCTTTTTTGAATTTCTCTTTTTCTATATAATGTGAGAATGGGTCTAATTTTATTTTCTTCCAGATAGCTAACACCATTTATTGATTAGTTCCTCTTTTTCCCATTGCCTGAGATGCTATCTTATTATTTACTAAAGCCCTATAGATATTAAGGTCTATTTCTGGACTTTCTATTCTCTACCTTTAATCTATCTGAGCCAGTGCCATAGTTTTAATTATTGATGTTTTATAATACAATAAAACAGTTGTAGGGCCAGTCCTACTTATCTTTTTGTCCCGGGAGTTTTTCTGACTATTCTTATTTGTTTATTTTTCATGTGAACTTTAGAATCATCTTGCTTAGTTCCAGCAATCACAAGTGTTGGTATTTTTATTGGGTCTTCATATCATTTTATCCCTGAAGTCCTGCTGGCTGTCTCTTTAATTTAGTCTCTCTCTTCACAAGTCTGTCTCACCAGTTCTGAAGTTGTCTTTTTCCTCTTATGTTTTTCACAACTCATCTATTTAGCTCCAATCTCTTTCTCGAACCATGTATTCTGCACACCTTTACAAATGCCCACTCCGTGCCAGGCTTGCCCTAGCTCTGAGGATACAGAGGAGTGAGCCACAGTCCTTTACCTCAGAAAGCCACACTGGACCAGCTAGATTATGCTCCTCTCCCCAGTGCAGGGTCATGTCAGAAGTGGGAGGGAACAGTGCCTATGTCTGTGTCTGTCTGTCTGTCTTTCTCTCTCCCCTTTCCCTCACACACAACATTCCCCTAGCCTCTCTTTTCCTTAAATGGCCATCATAGAGCATTGAAATTGCCCTTAAAAATTTTTTTATATTTTTAATGCCATGTTATATTCCTGGTTCTTAATTTTAAAGGTATGTGACAGAATATTTTATTTTTGCCTCATTTATAAACTCTCAAGTTAGGTTATTTATGTGGGCTCCAGACTGCTTTCTTAGGTGGCCTTATATGTAGTGGATAAAGCCCTACAGTCAGATGGACAGAAAAATCCCAGCTCAGCCACTCACCTCCAAGCTGACCTCCAACAAATTAAACTTGCTGAGCCTCATTTTCATAATCTGGAAATAAGAATAACACTAAACCGACTACGTAGGGTTCAACAAAGCTTAGCACGTTTTATATTGCCTGGGTCCCAAGCAACCTCAGACGGCAGCCAGGAGGATGGGGCAGACACCACCCCACAGGGAGGTTCTGTGCCTGGCGGGCTGCCAAGGCTGACTGCCTACTGGCAAACGGTGCTGGGCTCAAGGGAAGGCGCCTTGAGCAAGTTCTTAAGCTGCTACTACTGTTCAATAGCATCCTAAATGGCAAAGGACTTAGATATTAGGTTTCACTGCATTTGTCCTTCATGCAGAGTTTACCTGTACGTTGTTGCTATCCACCTACCCCAGTGCTAGCTAAAACGGAGGGCGCGGGTGGACTGTGCTGGCTGCCTGGGCTCAGAATTGGAGGCTGTGCAGGTCTGGCAAGTCTCTGGCTGAACAGGGTCCGGGGAGCCAGGGGCGGTGGTGCGCCCGAGAGCCCTGGTTTGCGGGGCCCCGCCCCACGCCTCACGGAGCCTTCTCTCAGCAGCACGACTTCAGCCTGGAGAGGAGGACGCTCTTCTGGGTGGACGCTGTCACCCGGGGCCCCTGCCAGTTCCAGTGCGATGCTCCCGGGACAGCGTCAGCCCCTCCAGCCTGGCTCTTGCTGGTCAGCCCGGAATGCGGGCTGGCGTCCGCACCGGCTGCAGCCGCCGGCCCCGAGGCTGGACCCCAAGAGCAGCCCGAGGAAGAGGAGGAGGAGGAGGAAGCCACCCCTGGCAATGAGGAAAAGCTGGGTCCTCGCAGCCCCCAGCCCAGCGCTCCTGCGAGCCCCAGCCCGGGCCGTCACCGGTGCTCGCTGCATGTGCTGCGAGGCGTGAGGTCCGAGCTGGCCGGTGTGCGGCGCAGGCTCTCCGAGGGCAGGACGGCCGCCCGTCCACGCGCCTTTCTGCAGCGCATCCGCCACCGGGCGTGGAGCCTCTGTCCCAGCCCCGAGCCGCCCCCGAGCCCCGCGCCCCCGCCCCCGGGCCCCTGTGTACCCGGCCCCGCCCCCGCGGCCCTCCACGGCTGGTGCGGTGCCCCCGCTGCGGAGCCACAAGCCCACAGTCGCGGTAAGGAACTTGCCGGCTCTGCCAAGATCAGCAGCAAGGCCCCCATAGTCTGGTCCCCAGCCAGGTCCATAGCCAGGGTCCCTCCTCTCTGTGCTCCTCCTCCCTAGCCCTACCTGCGGCTCTTCCTGCAGCCTCTGCCTAGAATGGTCCCTGCTCAGAGGGCTCCCATTCCGTTTCGCACTGTGCCTGCTCTGCCTCTGCTCGGGCTCATGCCACATAATTGTGCTTATCCAGTGCCTGTCTCTCTCTCTCCCGTGGAATATGCGCTCATGTTCTTTTAGGGCAGGGGTTGGATCGCATTCATTTGTGTTTCCAGAGCACCCAGCAGCAGATTGGGCCCCTAGGGGGTGCTCAATGAATGTGACTCAAATCCAGGGCTCGCTGGGCAAGGCTTGCTGAAGACTCGGTGAGCTGGGCGCTCAATCAGGGAATAGTCACTGTCTGTAAGTTCCTGCCAGACGCTGTTTGGAAGAGACAAAGTCAAAACCACTGGACAATCGCCCAAGGGGGTGTGGAGATAAGGCAGCCCTGTGTAGGGGTGGGATCGGGTGTTGAGAGAGAGGTGAGGGTGTTACAGGCTGGGAAAGCCGGGGGCAGAAGGCTGTACCCAGCAGAATGGGGAGCGCAAGTGAATTTTCCATGAAACCAATGAAGCTAAGCCTCAGGCTCTGACTTGGCTCTTTCCAAAGCGTTATGCCTAATTTTATATGTATAATTCTGTCTTTTTTAATTTAAGAGGTCCAAATTGTATAAGCACCAAATTCCACACAACCTGGATCCTGAGTAGATGGGGTGGGTCCGGATTAGTAGCAGGAGGTAGCAATAGGGCACAGCTTTCTGTCCCCTCAGCGGCCCCAGTCAAGCCAGTAGGTACAAAAGAATAAGGCCAACATGAAATTAAATCCAAAAGAGACTCGAGGCCTGGCTTTTCCACTCACTGGTGTGTGATCTTATGCAAGTCGCTGAAGTGCTCTGAGCCATCCCCTCTCCACCTTGTAAAGAGGGCCAGCAACCCTTCTCACCGTCGTTGGGAGCAAACAGAGAGAAGAGGCTCTGTGAGCTGGACTGGCCGTGCCCACATCAAGGGCCAGATGTTAATGCCAGAATGGCTCTTCCCTGATCCAGATTAAAATAACTCTAGCAACAATCGTGTGTGTGTGTGTGTGTGTGTGTGTGTGTGTGTGGCAGATGTTCTGTAGAGAAGGAAACTGGGGCAGACAGCAGCTAACAATCTTTTTTAAGGTCACAAGAATAGACTCAGATCCTAAGATTTTGATGTTTTCCACTGGGGGGGCTCAAGGGCAGACCCAAGGGTAAGGTCATGGCAGAGAACCCCCTGAGCAATTGGATGGAGGGGGAATTTATATGTCACACACACTCTACCCCAGGAGCGAGGGCAGTGGGGCTTGGGGAGGAGAGGACAAGGCAGTGTATTCAGGGTTGGCAGATATGTGCCTCTTCATGGGGGAAAGCTTGGGGGTGATGTTGGCCAGGCCAATTGAAAGGCCTTGAAGCCACCCATCTTAGCCCAGCACCAGAGCTGCGCCTGGTCTGTACCCCTCTCTGTGCCCTGCCAAGTCTCAGCCCAGCCAAATTCAAGAATGAGGTTCTGGCTGGGAAGACCCCCCTAAAGCAGTGGTTCTCAACCTTCTGGCCCTTTAAATACAGTTCCTCATGTTGTGACCCAACCATAAAATTATTTTCGTTGCTACTTCATAACTGTAATGTTGCTACTGTTATGAATCGTAATGTAAATATCTGATATGCAGGATGGTCTTAGGCGACCCCTGTGAAAGGGTCGTTCGACCGCCAAAGGGGTCGCGACCCACAGGTTGAGAACCGCTGCCCTAAAGTGTGGGGTAAAGAACCTGGGTTTGATTTTGAATAGGGTTCAGGTCCCAAATGTGTGCTGCTTATCAGGTCATTAACTCTCTGAACCTTGATTTCAATATCTGTAAAATGGTGCAATAGGAGCAGGGTTATTCTCCAGCTGTGGGCAAACTACGGCCCGCGGGCCGGATCCGGCCCGTTTGAAATGAATAAAACTAAAAAAAAAAAGACCGTACCCTTTTATGTAATGATGTTTACTTTGAATTTATATTAGTTCACACAAACACTCCATCCATGCTTTTGTTCCGGCCCTCCGGTCCAGTTTAAGAACCCATTGTGGCCCTCGAGTCAAAAAGTTTGCCCACCCCTGTTAGCCTGTAAGTGAAATGTATGCAGGTCCTTTGCTACATACTTTTCTCACATTGTCTTATTTAAGCCTCGAAACAACCCTTGAGGTATCTAGTATGATTGCCTCCATTTCACATATGAGTAAATGGAGTAAACAGTAGAGATCTGGGGTTTGAACCAGAGCAGGACTCCAAGCTCTCCACAGCATTCGCCCCTACACTCTGTATAGAAGGTGGCATGCAAAGGCACCTTTAAAAATGTCCTGCCCAACCAGATGTTGCTCCCAGTGGTAAATGACGCATCCAACTTGTCTGTATTTCAGTCCCTCAGCCCATACACCTGCCTGCCACCTCTTGCGCGGGAGCCCCAGCCTCTTACCGCCCACAGAGCACAGCCTGATTCTGCTGACCTGCTGTCCGCCCTTAGCCAAGAGGAGCAAGACCTCATCGGGCCAGTGGTTGCCCTGGGGTATCCCCTGCATAGGGCCATCGTGGCTCTGCAGAAGACGGGGCGTCAGAGCCTGAGCCAGGTGAGTGATCCTCCAGAGTTGGGGGCTTGGAGCTGGAACCAGATGGGTGGCCACGTGGTTTTACCTTTAACTTGAAGAATTTTGTTTCTTTCTCTTCAGAGGCAGAATCTCAGCCTGGCATTAATTACTGGGGGGTATGAGCAAGTTTCTAGATCCTAAAGCTACCGTCTGCATAGGAGTTTAGCAGGAGTCCCCATGCCCACTTGGGGGAGTCTTGATATTTTACTCCTCTCCTGGTTTGTGCCCCAAATGCAGGGGCTGGAGCTTTGGGCAGCCAAGAATCTCTACAGCTGCCCAATAGGACTTTTTGTAATGAGAGATGTTTTGTACCTGTTGTCCAATACAGTATCCACCAGCCATACGTTATTACTTGAAATGTGGCTAGTGTGACTGAGAATTTTCTGTAATTGTAATTAATTAAAATAGTTACATGTGACTACTATTGGATGGTGCAGCTCTAACCACTTCCCTCAACGAAGGAACTGTGTTCAGTTTACCCATACCCACCTATCCATCTAGTCAACAGTATTTATTGGGTACTTCCTGGGTGTTTAGACGTGGCTAGGAGGTATGAGGGAAACCAGGGTACATAAAAACCACTGTTGTAGGTTGGATTCCCCAGGAATCTGACTCAGATGGAGTTAATTAAGGAGGCTCTTGGGATAAACCCCTGGAGAAGGGAGTGGACAGAAGCAGGAGTGGGTAGATGGAGAGGTTGAGCTTTGTAGACCCAACGACCGTGTCAGCCATCCCCTCAGCTCTGGAGCAAATATGGCCCTTCAGAGTCATCCTAAGTGGGGCTGAGATGGTCAGACCTTTATATCCCTTCATCAATCAGGAATTAGGGGTGTTAATATTTAGTAAACACCTTTTTTTTGTGCCAGTCCCTCAGTCTGAGAGTATTCAATTAGGTCTTCTCAATTCTTCAAGGTTGCTGTTACTATCCTCACTTTGCAGATGGGGGCACAGGCTGGTTAGCTCGGAATCTTTGTTGTTCAATGCTTTTCTCTCATTTTCTGTGTGAGAACCTTTCAGGGCAGCACCCCAGGCTCATCTGAGATTTAAGAATAGATCTAAAGTTGCCTCCACCTTCAGCTGCCACTGAAAGCCAGGACCATGGCCAAGGAGCTACACCGAGGATTGTGAGGGGCCAGGTCCACAGAGGGGGCCCTGACATGTCCCCCCAACCCTAGTCTCTAGGACTGGTGACAAGGCTGAGGCCTCAGGCCGTCGCTGTGAAGATCTGAAGATTAGTTGGAGCCAGCAGAGGCACTGGCCTCCCTGTGGGTGGCCTGGAAGAATCCCACTGTATCAGGAACATTGTGTTTCCAGACATAGGCTGACCACCTGGCTGGCCGCCGGGTCTCTGGGTGGCCGTCCTCCCCGCTGGGCAGTCAGGGGCTAGGCCCCGAGGGGTGGGCCTGAAGGGCCATTGGATGACTTCATCTATCCTCCCGCACCAAGTTAGTATTTTCCTCTATTCTCTGAAGTTCCTCCATTAACTAAGAAACTCCTTTGGGTTCAGTTTCCTTCTCCCCTTGAAACATATATACTACAGTACATCCTTTATGGCCAGAGACAGCTCACAAGGTAGGACATCAGGCGACCTTCACTTCGAAGAGCCAGGGAGAACGAAGGAGACACAGAAGATAAGCTTTGTCCATCGCTCCTTCCTTCCTTCCACAAGGATCAAAGTGCCCACTGACTGCCTGCAGGACACATGGGTGGCACATGTGAGGGCCCATAGGCCAGGCCCAGAGTTGCCATATGACTCCAGGCACATCAGGGCGCCTCTTTGAGTCTCACTTTCCCTATTCACAGAATGGGGGGGGGGGGAGGGAACATGTGCTTATAGACTTGTGGGGGCCCCATCCTGGGGTCTGAGGTAGGCCTGATGGCTTTTACAGTCCCATAGGCCCCAAAACCGACCAAGCAGCAGAATCTTTACAAATGCAGATTCCCAGGACCTACCCGGGAGGGTCCCCATCAGTGGCTCTGGAGTACCCTCAAGAGCCTGTTATTTTCAAACACCTGTAGATGGTTCTGATATGCAGCCTGGCATGGGATCCTGTAGTCTGGACTAAGGACAGCTCTACCTTGAGTAAGTGGTCCTCAACCTTGGCTTCTTTTTTTTTTTTTTAATATATTTATTGATTTCTTACAGAGAGGAAGGGAGAGGGATAGAAAGTTAGAAACATCGATGAGAGAGAAACATCGATCAGCTGCCTCTTGCACACTCCCTACTGGGTATGTGCCTGCAACCAAGGTACATGCCCTTGACCAGAATTGAACCCGGAACCCTTGAGTCCGCAGGCCGATGCTCTATCCATTGAGCCAAACCAGTCAGGGCAACCTTGGCTTCTTATTAGAATCCCCTGGAGAGCTATAAGAGTCCAGTGCCCAGGCGGCACCCCCCAGATCAGAGATTCTGGAGGCAAGAAAAAATGGTTTATGGGTAGTTTTAAATATATATATATATATATTTTTTTTTATTGATTTCAGAGAGGAAGGGAGAGGGAGAGAGAGATAGAAACATCAATGATGAGAGAGAATCATTGATTGGCTGCCTGCATGCCCCCCACTTAGAATCAAGCCCGAAAACCCGGGCATGTGCCCTGACCGGGAATCGAACCATTGCCCCCTGGTTCATAGGTCAACGCTCAACCATTGAGCCATGCTGGTCGGGAAGTTTATGGGTAGTTTTAAAACTCCCAGGTAGCTACAGTCAACACTAAGGCCAAGATCCATTGCTGTGGATGAGCTGAGAGGTGAGGGAGATCTCCCATCTGCTGTTGCCCCCACTCCAGTTTTCACCTTCAGGAATTCTGTCTACTTTTACGCTCAAGCTCCTCCTCTAGTAGTGGCCCCACAATGGACAAGGCCTTAGCGGGAGATTAGGTGATCTAGGCCCCAGTCCTGGGACCCTGGGCAAGCTGCCCGCATTGCCTGGACCTCCGTTTCCTCAGGTGTGCAAGGAGGGCTTGGCTGGCTGGTTTTCCAGTTGTGCTCAGAGCAAGGTCTAGGTGTCCTGGGGCAAGTGCTTGGACGGTTCAGAAGCTGAAACCATTAGTGACCCAGCCTCTTTCTTCTCCGCTTATACCCACAATTCTTATGGTCTGGCACTAACTTCATTTGACACTGACTCCCTATAAATTCTGTTTTGATTTGTCTGGGCCTCATGATTTCCAGTATCTGGTTTATCTCCCCCACTGAGCTGTGAGCTCCTTGAAGGTGGTTCTTAATTCACGTTATAAACACAGCATGTATTTATCAAGCTCCTTCTGCCTGCCATGCTGGGTGCTGGGACACAGTGGTGACACAACCCTTCCCTCATGGAGCAAAAAGCCAGTGGATGAGAAAGATGAGAAAGGCAGTAGAGCAGTTACAAATTTGTATGTGCTGTGGGGCCACCAAGCATGGCACCTTAGAAACGGGGCAGAGAGGATCCCCAGGTAAGAGGAGTGAGGCTGGCCTTGCTGAGGGGCCTAGGGGGCTGGGGGAGGAGCAGAGGTGACTGACAGGCAGGAACAGGCCTTTGAGCCCTGGTTGGGAGGCAGCACTTCATCCTGAGGGCCAAAGCAGCCCCCGAGGACTGGGCAGGAAGTGACCAGAACAGGTCTTCAGCCCTGTGAGGTCCACTCTGTCCCTTCCCCTTTCCAGCATGGATGCAGGTCTGTTGCTTAGTGGGGGCTCATGAAGTCCTGGGTGGCAGAGATGTATGTGTCTAGGGGTGGGGTGGGGGTATACAGGTATGGATGGCAGTAGGTGCTCACCAGGGAGGGTGAGTAGGCTGGGGTGGGTGGTGAGTGAGAAGAGACCCCTGTGTTGCAGGCCTGTCCCACTCCCCACTTAGCTTCTGGGAACACCTTAGCTCACCCTAACAGCCCCTTTCCTGGATCCCAGCCCCTAGTTGGGGATTGTTGCTGTCTACCTGTCCACAGATCTCCAGAGGTGGCCTCTGCTTCTCTTCTATTGGTTCATGGGGTTTCTGGGGCCATGTCATGTGCGGTGGATGCCTAGTCAGCTGGCCTGAGCTCAGGCCTTACTGAGGTCCTTGGGGTGTCTCCTCTACCCCATCCACTGCCCCTGCCGTTCCCCTTTAAAAAAAAAAATAAAACATGTTTTCATTGATTTCAGAGAGGAAGGGAGAAATAGAAAAAGCAATGATGAGAGAGAATCATTGAATAGCTGCCTCTTGCATGCCCTTTGCTGGGGATCAAGCCCGCAACCCAGGCATGTGCCCTGATCGGGAATCGAACCGTGACCTTCTGATTCATAGGTCGATGCTCAACCACTGAGCCACTCATCTTATCCCCTCCTTCTTTGCCCCTTTCTGGCCCAGTTTCTCAGCTACCTTAGTGCCTGTGACCGGCTGCTGCGGCAGGGCTACGAGGAGGGCCTGGTGGAGGAGGCCATGGAGATGTTCCAGTTCTCTGAGAGCCAGGTCAGCCGGCCACCTGCCTGAGCCCCGAGGCAGAAAAGGGATGGGGTATACACATGAGCCTGGTGTGCAGGGACACGCGGTGCCAGAGCCAGCCTGGGGGTGACAGGGAGAGAGCTGCTTGCTCAGCCCTGGGGAGCAGACAGCCCAGGGAGA